TACGTTATATATTATCAGTTATATATATTATATATTATGTATATTAAAATGTTCAAATCAGGTGAAAATATCTGTCATCTCAAATACTTTATCATTTCTGGTGGTGAAAACCTGCAAGTTTTAGTTTTTGAAAACAATATTTTACTCTTATTTGTAATCACCTAACTGTAATACAATGCCAGAGTTTATTTTCTTATCTGACTATAATGTAGTATATACCTATTGGTCAACCATTCCTTAACTACCAGCCTCTGAGTAACTAGTATTCTATTCTCTACTTCAGTGAAATTGACTTTCTTACATTCCACATGAGTAATATGTAGTATCTCTCTTTCTGTGCCTGGCTTATGACCTTCACTTCCATCCACATTGTTGCAAATGACAGGATGTCATCCTTTTTTATGGCTGACTAATATTTAATTGTGTGTATGTACCGCATTTTCTTTAACATGTCATCAGTTGCTGGTTAATTAGGTTGTTTTCATTCTTGTTTTATTTTGATAATCTCGCTGTGTAGTTCAGGCTGGCCTTGAACTTACTATGTAGCCAAGGCTGGCCTCAGACTCAAGGTGTTCCTCCTAACCCCAGCCCCCGGATTGCTGGGATTATTAAGTGTACACTACCACACCTGGCTTATTTACTTATCTTTAAGTTAACTTTTTTAGCTTCTTACTAAAAAAAATTGATAAGTAAGAGCTTCTTTTTTTTTTTTTTTTGTACCAGGGATTGAATTTAGGACCTTACACTTGCAAGCAGGTGCGGTGCTGCTGAGCTAAATTCCCAGCCCGTTTATGAATTGTTTTTGTCACTCACCTAAGAAAACTTTATCCAGTAAAAGTGGATAGATCTTATCTGACAGATTAAATATGCTACCTGTCCATGAATGGGCAGGAAATTGGAATGTAATACCAATGGATATCTGGCATATGTCAAATCATTTATTGAAATTACTGTACCAGGATGCTTTGTTTGTCTGAGCTGATTCAGGTGGGAATTAATATGGGATTTTAATTTGGAATTTATTTATATCATTAGATGAACCATCATTCTTTGATAATTCAAAGCAATAGTCTCAGTGCCTCATTTATCTCCTGCCTCTGGCTTACCAAAAGAAAGGTCCAAGGAGGTCCTCAAAGCAAATATGGGACCCTTGGCTCACCACCTTCCTGGGCAGGTTATAGGTTCACCAACTTCCATCATAGAAAAAGGATTTTCAGGATGCATCACTGAGAGGCATATGGGGATGTATGTAGAAGTTTAAAAGTACACATTCAAACAGAGTGCAGGTCCCCAAGAGAGGTGTTTATTTATATAATTAGAGAAACATCTAGAATATACTTCTAGTCAAACAATATATTCAGATTTAAGGCCAAAAATTAATAGTGTCACCATTTATAACATATTTCTCCACCTATCTTTTGACCCCTATAAAACTTTATAAAAAAAGTATTGCTTATATTTCCACTTTCAGGGTGACTGTCGTTCCTACAGTTACGTGTGTGGAATCTCCAGTAAAGATGAGCCTGACTGGGAGTCTCTTGTTTTCCTTGCTAGGCTTATACCGAGGATGTGTCATAACATTAACAGGTATGTTCTGCCGGGTCAGGGTAGAAAGACACAGGTGTGGTACGGTGGAAAGATGTGGTATTTTAGGGTCTTCTTTTTAATAAGAGACGCAAAGCCCAAGTGTAGAGTGGGGTAAGTTATAGTTATGACAGATGGCTCTGTTCAAATATGTACTTTGGCTGTTGTTTGGCAAATGTTCAGTATTACCTTGTGTTTTTGTCTTTTACCACAGTGTAATCATCTATTTAAAAAAATTACTGACTATAGAAATAAAGAGGATTTTTATTTTACTATAATATATTAAAAGTAACTTTAAAGCATATCTTCCAGATCAGTAGTTTATGCTGTTGGTTTTATGGTAACATGCTTTATTCCTAAAGGACTGAAAAAAATGTTATTCAGGTTATGGAATTATGAGTAAAATTGGAATAGAGAATTTAAGAGTAATCAAAGGAGCTGGGCATGGTGATGCCTGCCTGTAATTCCAACACTTGGGAAGCTGAGGCAGGAGGATCTGTGAGTTTAAGGCTGACTTGGGAAACCTAATGAAGTCAAGACCAGCTTAACCTGTGTAGTGAGACCCTGTCTCAAAAAAAAAAAAAAAAAGTAAGCCAAGGAAAATCAAAGAAGAAATAGGCAAGAAAAAGAGGTATATCACTAAAAGCTGTATTTCAACATGATTTACATTTTCAGGCTTAATTTTCCTTTAATTGTACATTAGTTTCTTAGGTGTATTGACAAGTGATATGTATTTTTTTGTTGTTGTTTTTTGTTTTGTTTTGTTTTGTTTTTTGGTACCGGTGCTTGAACTCGGGTCCTTGCGCTTGCAAGGCAGGCCACCGAACTGCTGAGCTAAATCCCCAGCCCCAATATGTATTTCTAATAAATCAATTGTATGGTCCCAATTACACTTCAAAAATCTCACTTGTTTATTATCATATTGCTAGTTATTTCAGAGTTGTTCACTCTCTTGAATTTTCTTTTTTTCTTTTTTGGCACCAGGGACTGAACTCAGACCCTGTGCTTGCAAGGCAGGCGCCAGTCTCTTGAATTTTCTTCATGAATATTGGACAGCTAACAACAAAAAATAATTACTTGAGGCTTCATTTTACTGGTCTGTTGTAGAAATTGTAACCCTACATTACTGTGAACCTAAAAGAATATGTATAGTTAAGTGCTAAAAAGTTAGAGGGAAGCCAGATTTTTACTGATGGGAACAGGCCCGCTAAAAAGTGTATTCAGATGTTTAGCCTGGGCACAGGGAGGGGAGGGAAAGGAGATTAAAGTCCGGGGGAGGACTGTGAAGTTTTGTGTGCATGTACCAAGTCCCTATGAGGAACTTGGGTGTTGTGCACTGCAAACGTGTACTGTGTCCTGTGTGTATGAATGAAAAGGTCCAAGAGATGGCGGGAGGGAAAAGGAAGGATTCAAATAATGTCAGGTACCAGCTCCCCATGATGAATATACTCATCATATACTGTGTGAAAAACAAGTGTACAGATGAAACGAAGACCCAAATTCAGTAGCAGTATCAGTATACTGAAGAAAAGAATTGTAAATAAGTGTAAATAGTGTAAATAAGGATAGATTTATAATTGCCTGTTTTGAAAGGAGATCGCTGTTATAATTGTTCTTCGGTAGAATAATGGTTCATATTTCATCTCCTCCCTTCTCTAAATTTATTTCCAATGTTTTAAATATATTATTGGTATTTAAAAATTTTTATACCATATTCAGGTTTAGTGCTCTTTAATTTTCTTCTGCCAAAGGACAATCACTCTTGTTCAAAATTGACTTTTTTCTGTGTTGTTTTCTTTTTTCCCTCTTGTTCATGTCTCCTTCCTAAGTCAGCCCTTCCTCTCTTCTCAAAAAAGAATAAACAGTCTGTCAGCAAACCAAAACTTCGTTGGTTTTTGGAGACAGAGTCTCAGTACATAGCCCAAACTGGCCTCGAACTTGGCAGTGATCCTCCTGCCTCAGCCTCCCAAATGCTGGGATTACAGGCATGCACCACCATGCTGAGCAAAAACTAGATTTTTAAAGAAGAATTTAGCAAGTCCTTCAAAGAATTTTGGTAGACTAGATTCTTTTTCTCTTTTGGGGATTGAAGTTTTAAAATATTTTTCATTTTTGAAACTCCTATTTTAAATGAGGGAACCTTTGTACAGGTAGGGGACTGCTCTGATTTTACTGTTCTGTGGTGTGAATGAGAGCATGTTCGTGTGTGCTCTCGAAGTCACAGGTTTGTGGAGTTCTCAACTAGTTACTTTCTTGTCTGAGGGTTGTTTATGAAATCTAGGAACTGTATTTATAAGAAATGTGACCTACTTTCTGATGCTGTTTTCTTTTATATATCTTATTCCAAGTACATATTCAGCAAAACCATTATTAAACTTTACCATGGTAGTCACCGGGGATTTTATGTTCTTGGCTAAAGACAGACAGGGCTGCATGGCCTGGTGGTGCATACTTGTAATCCCAGCGCTCTGGGAGATCAAGGCAGGAGTGTCTAAAGTTCAAGCTCAGCTTGGGAAATTTAGTAACTCAGTGAGACCTTGCCTCAAAAAAAAAAGCTGGAGATGTAGCTCATTGTGAAGGCCCTGGTTTGGATTCTTAGTATTGGGGTGATTAAAGGGCTGAAGGTTAAAGGACAGTTGTCTTCTGGACATAGGTGGAGTACAGAGAGCTAAGTGACACTTGGATCTCTATCTTTAACTTTCTCTTGTTTTCTGGGTAAAGGTTGAGAAACATCCTTGCAAACCAGTGCCAAGGTATAACTCAGGTTCTTGTAATTGTCCGATTTTAGTTTCTTCAGGTTATGTTCCGAACTCTCGCAGTGTATCTTCATGTCTTTCTTTGAAACAAACATTTACTTAGAGTGTTAGTGAGACATGCCATCTGGAAGAAAGTAGGGTACTGAGTCTTACTTCACTGTCCTTTTTGTGGGGGGCAGGTGTTTCAAGACCTGGTCTCACTTTGTAGTTCAGGCTGGCCTTGAACTCACTGTGTAACCCAAGCTGGCCTGGAACTCATGGAGATCCTTCTGCCTCAGCCTCCCGAGTGCTGGGATTACAGGTGTGCACCATCATGCTTCACATTTCAGTGACATTTTAAGTACAGTGCAAATGAGAATCTCTAGGATCACTGTTTCTCAAAAGTGAGAAAAAATTGGTGGACTAGGTTTTGGAAATTGATTTTAACTTCACTTGGAGATTTCTGGTGTGTGTTAGCATATTACAGTTTCTAAAGTCTTGTCACAGAGAAACCTACTATTTGTTGAACTATGTGTATTACTTTGGGTCTCCCCATGGCAAATTATTACAAACTGGGAGACTGAAAGCCACAGAAATTTCTTCTTTTATATATATTATAAAGGCCAGTAATTTAAAATCAAGGTGTTGGCAGGGCTGTGTTCTCTCTGAACACTCTGGAGAAGGATCCTTCCTTGCCTCTTTCTGGTTTCTGGTGGTTCCTGTAGTCCTCAGGCTTGTGGCAGTATAATTCCGATTTCTTTCTTCAGTTTGCATGGCCCTCTTTCTTCTGTTTGCTCATTTCCTGCTCTTGGAAGGGCACTGGTCATTGGATTATGGATCAGCTTACTTCAGTTGTGACTTCAGGTTAACTCAGTTATATCCACAGGGACCCTGTTTCCACTGATTCTGGTTGAATATGAATTTGGAGGGATAGTCAGTTAATACATCTTGTGGAACAAAGGTTGTGATCACTTATACCTTTGCACATTCTGAGATACTTGTATTCCAGAGAACACACTTTGAGTGAAGTACATAAAATACAGATTTTCCCGTAATCATATATCCTGTCGTTCCTATTTAGGGAGTTGAAGAGTAGCAAAAGGGCCTAAAAATAATTAGAAAGAATATTATACTCTGTGCCTTGTTTCTTACGCTAAAATGTTATTTCTCTCTAATTTTACCTTGTTAGAGTTGTCTATATCTTCGGCCCACCAGTTAAAGAACCTCCTACAGATGTTACTCCCACTTTCTTGACAACAGGAGTACTTAGTACTTTACGCCAAGCTGATTTTGAGGCCCATAACATTCTCAGGGAGTCAGGTAAGTTGCTCATTTTGTTTATAACACACTAATTAGATTTTGGAACCTAAGCATTATGGTTTCCAGCAGGAAGATATCACTTTTGGTTTTTAAATGCCTTTTTTTTTTTTTTTTTTTTGGTGAATGGCTCTGTAATGTTGCATTTTCTTTTCTTTTCTTTTCGAGACAGGGTCTCACTATGTAGTTGAGACTGACCTGGAACTCACTATGTAGGCCAGGCTGGTCTCGAACTCACAGTGATCCTCCTGCCTGAGCCTCCTCAGTGCTGGGATTACAGGCGTGCGCCACCATGCCTGGCTCTGTACTGTTGCTTTCTAAATGAAATTTATTTACCTAGGTGGCTGTTTGCAGGTAAACCTGCAATACTTTGTAGAGTTACTCTGTTCACGCTCAAACCAGCTGAGGTGAACAAGACAGTGCTCTGCTTTGTTATTGTAGCTCTCCTATTATAAGTAAGTGTCGTTTTCTTGTCTGTTTTTCAGTGTCCTTTTCGTGGTGTCATTCTTTTGCATTCTTATGCTTTTTTTCATAATTTTGCTATTTAAAGTCACCCTCAAGCATAATGATGCAGCACTGTCTGGGTTCATAAGCACAGGTAGACTGTGATATATGTTATGAAAAAGTCTGTATTAAACTATATTCAGTCATGAGTTCTAGTGCTGTGGGTTGTGAGCTTTAAAGTTAATGAATTGACAGTAAATGTTATGTAAGGTGTCTAAACAGAAACACATAAAACACGATTATGTGCAGATCATTTGATGCAAGTGTATACTTGTATACATTTGTGACCTTGTACAATCCCTAGGACAGTGGTGGTGAGCCTATGGCACTGTGCTACAGTCCACTGTTTATATCTTTGAAAACTCTCAAAGGTTTGCTATTACTGCCGTAGGCGAGGGGGTCGGTGTTTATTAATTCAGTGTTTGCAGCATAGACTATGGTATAACTACCTTGAATAATGAAAATCAACTCTCCTTGGATATATCACATCATGAACATCAATGCAGTGATCAAATTCTATATTACTTGTGTTTATGGTTGCATCTTCTTAGAATGCTGTGGGAACACTTGAATTCATGGTAGCCATCTTAACTGGGGTTTGCATGTGTTTATGATTTTAGATACTGTCTGGGAGGATTGGGTTAGAGCACTTTTCTGTGGTGTGATGATTGGTTGTTATATGTTCCTTTTTCTAGGGTTTGCTGGGAAAATTAGCCAAATGCCAATAATTTTGACGCCATTACATTTTGATCGGGACCCACTTCAGAAGCAGCCTTCATGCCAGAGATCTGTAGTTATTCGAACCTTTATTACTAGTGACTTCATGACTGGTATACCTGCAACACCTGGTAATGAGATCCCCGTGGAGGTAATTCATGTACTTTATTATTAACATACATTTTTAATACTTCATACATTTTATAATATAGTGACTAAAATAGGGTGTGATATTTCTGGAGTTGGTTCTCTGTTCATAAGATAGGTTTACCATTTTTTTCTTTTGTCTCTGCTTCCTTAATACATTTAGCAAGCAGAAAAAGCCCTTAAATTTAGTACACTGCCTACATGTCTGATTACAGCCTAGAAAGTAGCTAACTGTAATGTATAATTTTATCTAACCCTACTACCTCATAATTTTTCCCAAAAAGAAAATCTTAGGACTGTTAGAAATGAGGTTAAGATTTGATGGCAGTATGGCCAAACATCCATGAACTGTTCTTTTACCAATTCCAGTTCCATTTTTCAACACTTTCCTCCATCCTGTTTTTCCACAAAGGTATTCCAAAGGAGCTATGTACATAATTACAACTGAAAATCAAACTGAGAGTTTTATTATTTGGGCCAGCCTTCTAATACACTAGTATGAGGCTCTGGTTATAGGTAGATTACTGGTTTGGGGAGTGTGAGCTGACAGCTTTATTTTGCCTTAATGCTAAAATTTGCCAGATCTCTGGCCACTAAAGTGACCAGGCCTCCCTCTCCTCCTATGTTGTTGACAGTGATAATTACTAGAGTGTATCATGTATCACCTTGGTGGCCTCAGAGTTGAATGTTTAAGCCATAGATAATAGATAATATACAAAGCATTGGCTGAAACACAAAGTCACATGCTTGAATACTGCGGCAACATCTGATTGCTTGTTAATGTTTTTAACACTTGTGGGCTGATAACAAGCACAGCTTGCAGACTAGCATGTGTTTATGCTCCACACTTGAATATGTACTGTTTTAACTCATTAGTGTTTATTATAGAGATAAATAGGTTCACTATGAGATTAATCAGAGACTATCCTTATATATAGGGAAGGTAAACATGAAAATAAATCACATTTTAATTTTAAATTGCAGCTGTGAGCCTTTAGGACTGTTGGACACACAGGAGATCTCTTTTATTTATTTATTTGTTTATTTATTTATTTTATAACAGGTGGTGTTAAAGATGGTCACAGAGATTAAGAAGATTCCTGGTATTTCTCGAATTATGTATGACTTAACATCAAAGCCCCCAGGAACTACTGAGTGGGAGTAATAAACTTGTTCTGTTAAAGTACTGTGTGCAGTTTAAGTTGATTAGACACCATTTCCATTATTGACATGCAGTGCTGTGAAAAAAGTTACCGGAACAGCTACATCACACCTTAGTTGTGCCCAGCAAAAACATTTACAGCGTAAGAGCTGAGTTGGGGATGAGTGAAAGGGACTGAAGAGTTAGGATGGATAATCGAAGTGCCATTGCCTCCACTCAGAGTGATGCTGCTTTTGCCTTTGCCTCACTTGTTCTTACGTACAAACTCATTGTGGCTGTTGCTGTCTCTCTGTGAAGATAAATGAAAGTGAATGAGTTTGAGGACGGTAATAGGCTCTGTCTCCTTACCAGTTCTAAGAGCTGTTAAAAAAAATGTGTTAATTATTGGTGTGACTTACTATGTCTACCTTTTGGAAAATGTGAGTTTTCCCATAAGTATATTTATTTATAAAGGGTGAAGGAGAGGTGACATAACTGATAAAGGTATAGATGGGCTTTTTTAGCCACTTTCACAGGATATGGGGCTACAGAATGTAGATTACCTTAAGATGGAACAGTACTAGAAATTTCTGGAAGTACTTAATTTCATGGAACCACAGCCATGGCAGGAAGAAGCTATGAGTAGTTCACAGGTCTGAATGATCACAAAGTGCTTTCAGACCATGTTCTACACCAGTGCCACGTTACTCACTGTAAGCTTATTAATAAGGAGATTTATTTTCCCATCCTATTACCAGCTCTCACAGCCTTGCATAGAAATTTCCTGTTCTTTTCCAGGTAAGAGAGTTCAAGAGAAGAGTTTTAATCTCTTCTTTGAATGGTGAGAGGAGTTCAAAAGCCTTGATAAATGCCTACAGCTGACAAATGGGGAAGAAAAATGCTTACATCATCTAGTGAAGAGTTAAAGTAACCTCTTATAATCTATAGACAGATGTGTTACTGCTTAGACTGTGGCCTTCAGAACTATGACCAGTTTTATCAAGCAAGGTATTTGCCAAACCTTATAATGTTTTTCTAGTAGCTATAACATAAGATTCAAGAAGTCTGATTCAGGGCTTGCCGCTGCCACCAGTTTCTGAGATCTTTTATAACATTCATATAAGCATGATAAAATAGTAGTTGACTAAAATTCTGCAACTGTTGCATAGTTTAGCTTAGAATGTTACTATGTTTTTCTCTTAGCAGTCTCACCTCAGATTGCTGCCTCATACCTAGTTGAGAAGATCTTTGTTAATTAGGTCCAAATTTTTCTTTAGAATTTAAGGTTAGAGCCAGGCATTTAGCTCAGTGGTGCTACTACGTGCCTCACAAGTGCAAGGTCCTGCTTTCAATCACGGGTGCAAAAAAAAAAAAAAATCCAATAGAATTTAATGTTAGAAAAGGAAGCACGGCAGAAGCCATCTTTTCACTCTGGCTGGTCCAGGGGGCAACCAGGAGCTGCTGCTAGATCACCAAGGAGAGAGGTGTCAGTGTGAGTGCTATACCCGAGATGAAGCAGTATTTACGTTCTACAAAAATGTAGAGTTCTTTCTTTGCCCTGATGAGGGGTACTCGTAATGGCCTTCTGGGAAGAGGATGTGATAGTGAGCTGTTCTTAATGGATTTCAGCAGATTTAAAGTCATGTTATTTTAGACCTGTAAAATGCTTCCCAACATAAATTAGTACATGTTTATTTGAAAAAATTCCTCTTCCAGTAACAGTGTCTTTTGGTTTTATACTTAAAGCACATAATAGGAGTTGGGAAGAATATATAAGAAGAATATCTCTTCTGAAATTTGTTGTATGGAACACGTGCAGTCAGATGGTTGATGCAAACATGATTAAGTGATTATATAAGTTTGAAGTGTTTATTGATCTTTGCATTCTGAACATTTATGGTATATATTATATTCAAAGCTCAAATTTTGAAGGTAAGAGTCTGCTCTAATATTTTTTGGTTAAACACCTGTTCAGTCATTCTTGGAAAAAAAGCTTTCTTCAAAGCGCTCTTCACGTAATACAGGTTTTAAAAAATTAAAATTTGTGGGATTCAAGACATTTCCTAGTGTTTAGTACCTGTCTTTGCGGAGGGCTTGTTGCATTGTGTCACACAGCATTACCTGCACACCTTCATATTCTTTCATCTGAGCTACTGAGAAGATTGCAGTTCCATTTACAGTTAAAAGAACAAGCTCAATTTAGGAATGGTTACCTAATGAATTTAAGAATTTAATGTCAGGTTTTCTTAGTCCTCATAATCCTTTTATAATGTATTCTGATTCCTAAACTATATAAATTTAAGGGATGGTTGTTTTTATTTTTTTGAGTATAATTGATAGTTTATAAACATGGTATTCTGAGATCCAAATGCATTGTGAAATTACTTCATTTGAGATAATTTAACATATCACTTCATGTACTTACGGCAATTCTTAATTTCCTCCACTAAGAAACAATAGCAGAAGTAAAACAATACTTGTAAGCAAAAAACTTTGCTCAGCCTCTCTCTCTAGAGGCAGATTAAAACACATGTGAACTCCATTCTAGGTTATTTAACATCTGTATACATTTTTGAAAATTAAATTGGCAATGCCATATATACTATTTTCTAACCTGTTTCACTTAACAGTGTAGTGGGTACCTGTTCATCAATAAATTTATGTCAACACCATGGTCTCTTAGTGACAAAGTTTTTTCCCCATTTCTCCATTATTCTTACACTCCTTGTCCTCTCCACCTTACTACCTTTCTCTTGTTTAGTAATAGTCTTCCTTCTACTTTTATGTCTTTTGTAGATTCTGCATATAAAGGAAAACATAGCAATATTTGCCTTTCTGTGTTTGGCCTATTTCAGTTAATATGAGAGCTCCATTCCATCCTTTTTTACCTGCAAATGATGTAATGCTGTTCTGTAAAGCTGAATAGTACTCGTGTGTGTGTGTGTGTGTGTGTGTGTGTGTGTGTACACACGCACGTGCGTTCGCGTCTGCCTGCCTGCCTGCCTATCTGTTTTCTTTACCCTTTCATCTGTTGATAGGCATCTACGCTGGTTCCCTATTTTGGCTATTATAAATTGTGCTGCAGGCAACACGAGTATGCAAGTATCCCTGTAGTATGTTGACTTTAATTAGTTTGGGTATATACCAGTTACAGCTGAGTCATATAATAGTTTTATTTTTAGTTTTTTTTGGAGGAGCCTTCATACTGATTTCCTTAGTGGCTATACTAATGTATAGCCCCACCAACCAGTTTAGAAGGGTTTGTTTGTCTGTTTGATTTTTGGGAGGTGGCTTTTTGAGACAGGGTCTCCCTATGTAGTTGAGACTGATCTGGAACTCACTGTGTAGCCCAGGCTGGTCTTGAACTCACAGCGATCCTCCTGCCTCAGCCTCCCGAGTGCTGGGATTACAGGCCTGTGCCACCATGCCCAGCAAAAGGTTTGTTTTTGCTCATATCTCTAGCATTTACTGTTTATGTATTCCTGTTGATAGCCGTTCTGATTGCGATGAGATGGAATCTCAGTGTAGTTTTGATTTGCATTTCCCTAGTGGCTGGCAGATTAAATTTTATGTTTTTGGATACTTACTGGCCAATGTATTACTATTTTTGAGAAGTGTCTATTAAATTCAGTTTTTCATTTAGTAATTGGGGTATTGGTGTTAACAATTTTGAGTTCTTTATATGTTTTAGGTATTAATCTTTTTTAGAAGAGTAGCTGGCAAGATTTCTCTCATTCCATAGACTGTCTCTAACTGTGTTGTTTTCCCTTGTTGTGCGGGAACTTTTTAATTTGATGTAGTCGCATTTGTTGACTCTTGTATTATATTCTCTGTTGTTGAAGTTCTATTCAGGGAGGCACTGCTGGTGCTTATGGCTTCAAGTGTTTCCCCTATGTTTTCTAGCAGTTTCAGAGTTTCAGGTCTTGCCTAGGTCACTGATTGATTTTGAATTGAGTTTTGTGTTAGAGATGGTGATCTAGTGTCAATCCTCTACAAATTGGAATGTAATTTATTCCTAAAATTGTTAGACGAAAAAGAATTTTCGAGATTGAGGTACCAAATACTGCCTTAACCCCATCTATAATCATCAATACTGTTAAACAGAACATGACTAGCTGGCATAATTTCTGAAGATGTCTTTATCCAAGATACAGTATTATACTGTTTTTTGGTCCCCCTTAATCTTGGGTGCATGTAGCCAAATAAACAGATCAAAAAGTTATTTTCCTTTCTGTGTTTGGCCTTCATCCTGATAGCATGTTTTACTGAATAACTTGACTCTGCCCTTCAGAGGATTGGGAATTCAGATGAAGTAGGCAGGACTGTCCATTTTTAGTGCTTTGTGTTGCCATTAAATATCTGTGTGAATGTGGACAGGTCATTTCTGTTCTTTATCTGTGAGATGAGACAGTTGGATTAAATTTCTAACATTAAATCCAGCCCTAAATTCTTATTTTACAAATAAGAAAAAGCAACAGGAGACAGAAGGGAAAAAGTTGGTAGTTTGCTTTGTTTTTTGAATATCAGATACAACCAAGTAAAACACAAATAATCTCTCCACTCTCAAAACTGGTATTTATTAGCAAGATTTGACGACTTCAGAATCTTCACTAATAAGATACTTGACAAATGCTCCTCAGAATGTTTTGGTGGCAGTCTGTCTATTTACTGTGTTTTTAGAAATGGCAACAGGACACAGTTTGGCTTTGAGACAAATGAAAGGTCTCCCTTATCATTAACCTACATCTGTTTGTAGAGCTGGAGCCAGAATCCAGACTTTTTTTTGTCATCTCTGTGGTGCTTTGGATTTGACCCAGGTCCGTTGTGCATGCTGGACAATTGCTGTGCCCCTGAGCTGCCTCTCGGGCCCAGAATCCAAGTTTTCTGTTTCTCTTTGTCAAGGTAATTCTCTAAGACCTTTAAAGGCAGGGCAGGAAAGGAAATTAGCTGTGTACAGTTGTCAAAGATGAATGTACTTCCCAAGTGTTACTGCCTCCTCACTTAGAGTTTCTGGAGACAGCTATTTACTTTTTGTTTTTGTTGTTAAGTATAGGTGTGCAATGTATAATGAATACATTAATTTTGAGGAGGTGGTGCATATACATATTGCATCATTATCCTTTTTATCAATACCCCTGTTTGCTATCTCTCGTTCCTTTCCATTTCCAAAAGGTCTAGCTCCTTTCCCTAAAATAATGATTTTACTCTCTATACTTTGGGTTTCTCATATTTTACTCATTATACTGAGGGTTTCTCATATACTTTGGGTTTCTCTGTGTCTGATTTCTTTCACTTAGTATTACAGTATCAAAGTGCATTTTCTTAAAAATGACTCAGATTTATCCTTTGTGGGTGAATATTCATATCCTTTTTGTGCGAATTTTTATCGACTCAACTGTTAATGGACTTCTGCTTATCTATTCATCTGTTATTGGACATTCCAAGATTATAGTATTAGGAATGTTGTTATAAACATGATTATGCACATATCACTGTAATATATCTTTGTAAGTCTTTTGGGAAGGTACTCAGAAGAGAGAAATATATATAGCTAGGTCAAATAAAATTTCACTTTTTTTTTGGTACCGGGGATTGAACTTGGGTCCTTGCGCCTAAAAGGCAGGCCACCGAATCACTGAGCTAAATCCCCGGCTCACTTTTTAATTTTTTGAGGACTCTTCATACTAATTTCCATGTAGGTTGTGACATTTGGTTTTGATTTTTGTTTTGTTTTTTGATTTCTTGATTTATTTCTGGAATAAGATGGAATCGTAATGTTTCTATTTGCATTTCTCTAGTGGCCAAAGATGTTAAACATTTTTTCATGTACTTATTGGCCATTGGTTTTTCTTTTGAGAAGTTTCTATTCATTTGAATTGCCCATTTTTAAAAATTGGGTCTTGTGTTTTTTGGGGTCCAATTTTTTAGTTTTTTAAAGTTCTTAAAGCTTTTAAATTTGACAGGATTCCATCGTTATTTCTTGGGCAGCACTATTGTGACATCCTCATGCCCAGTGTTATAAATACTTCTTCCCCTGGGCCACATACAATGCCTGCATGAATATCCATACTCCCCATCTCCAGAATTTTCACTGGAATGTGAAATTACCTCCGTGGATGCTCATTTCACTGATCCAAATCCAGAGTGCATTTGAAAGTTAATATAAGTTAAGTGTTCTATCCTTGGGAAACATTCCTTTTCCATTATTGAGGTGATTTAGCTACACCAGGGAGCCAGAGAGGTAGAGCTTTTACCACAGAAATGGTGACATTAGTTCTAAGGTTCCTGAATAATGTAGTTTGGAATCTCCCAAATAGCCTC